GGGGGGGGAGTTGGGGGGTGGGAGGGAGCTGAGGATCCAAGCCAGACCCTAGTTCCAGAGGCAGCCTCTCCTTTCCGAGTCGGAGCTCTGGAGCTGGCTTCTACAGACACCGGCAGCTGAGCCAACCGAAGGAAGTCGAATGACCCAGTGAGAGGCAAGGTCAGGAAGCCTTTCCATAAACACGCTGGAAGCCCTCCTTTGGCGCTGGCGAGCCCCACCGATGTAATTACTGGGTGGATGTGACCTGGCCAGGCTGCTGTCGGCCTCCAAACGCTTCGCCAGAGGACAGAGGTTGCAGGGATGCCTCGATCACTTCCTCTGCTCTGTCCAAAGCTGCACAGGGCGAGGGGCAGTCATTGGACCTGTCCTCTTCTATGCAGACAGCAGCTCCGGCCACAGAGAGACCTAGGGGGTGGGGCGGGGGCTGGGGAAGTTCCTAAAGCGGGTCAAACCAATCAGGCCCGCCGGACATCCTTACCGAGCTCCTGTGACCCGTCCACTCCTGTCACCCTGCTCCCTCACTCATGGGACTGCTTCCTGGAGGAGACGGGCTTTTGAGACAGAGAAGGGGAAACATCCTGAACACTCGGTGAGGGCCATTATTTCTGGCACAAACAGCTGTCCTTTGCCAGCGATTATTGGGTGCCAGGCACTTATTTCAAGAGTGCTAGCTCATTTACCCCTCACGACGGGCTTCTGAGTTTGGCAGTACCGTCATCCCAGTTAAGAGATGAGGAAACTGAGGCACTAAAGTCACACGTGAACTCAGGAAGTCCGGCTCCAGGGTCTGTGTCGTAAACGAGTACAGGCAGGGTCATTCGGCCAGACAGGGGACTGGTTCCGACTCCGCAGTCCCGGCCGCGAGCGTGGGGCCCCGGGGGAAGGGGGGGCGGGGCAGTGGGTGGACCGTCCTCCCCGTCTGGGCACCTGGAGGGGGTCTGGCCCTGACCGCGCCCTCTCCCCCTCTGCCCTCCCTCTGCAGATGTGGATGTCCTCCAGCGGCTGGGCCTCAGCTGGACGAAGGCAGGGGGTGGCCGGAGCCCCCCGCCCCCGGGGGTCATTCCGTTCCCATCGGGCTTCATCTTTACGCAGCGGAGCCGGCTCCAGGCCCCCACGGCTGCCGTCATTCCTGCCGCCCTGGGCACAGAGCTGGCGCTGGTGCTGAGCCTCTGCTCCCACCGGGTGAACCATGCCTTCCTTTTTGCCGTCCGTAGCCGGAAGCGCAAGCTGCAGCTGGGCCTGCAGTTCCTCCCCGGCAAGATGGTCCTCCACCTGGGGCCTCGGCGCTCTGTGGCCTTGGACCTCGACATGCACGACGGGCGCTGGCATCACCTCGCCCTGGAGCTCCGTGGCCGCACTGTCACCCTGGTGACAGCGTGTGGGCAGCGCCGGGTGTCTGTCCCGCTGCCTTTCCCCAAGGACCCAGCCCTCGACCCCGAGGGCTCCTTCCTCTTTGGGAAGATGAACCCGCACGCGGTCCAGTTTGAAGGCGCCCTGTGCCAGTTCAGTATCTACCCTGTGACGCAGGTCGCTCACAATTACTGTACCCACCTGAGGAAGCAGTGTGGTCAGGCCGACGTACACCGGCCCCAGCTGGGACCCCTCCTGCCCCGAGACCCTGGCACAGCCTTCACCTTCCAGACCGACCTTGCCTTGCGAGGCCTGGAGAACCTGACCACTGCCGCGCCAGCCCTGGGGTCACGGCCAGCAAGCAGGGATCCCAGGGGGACTGTGGTGCCCGCCACCCCCGCCAAGCCCCTGAGGACTAGCGCCACAGAGCCGGGCCGGCGTGCGGCCGCAGGGGCCCGAGCCCGGATCCCGCTGCCACCTGCCAAGCTGTCAGCCGGGGGAGTGCTCCCTCCCGTGCCCCCGGCCTCTCTGGCTAGCTCCACCACACTTGTCCAGCCATTGCGGAAGAACGCGGCCACCAAGATCCCCCAAAGTCATCCAGCCAGGCTTTCGGTCCCTTCTCCTTCAGTAGGCCCCGTCAAAAAGCCCCGCCCCACCCAGAAGGCAGCTCAGCCTTCCTTCCCCAAATCAGCCCCACCCACCAGGAAGCCAGTGCCCCCCACTTCCCACCCACTTCCTGCCAAAGCCTCCCACCCCTCAGTGAAGCCGATCCAGAGGACCCCTGTGATGCCCAGACCTCTGCTACCCAGCACTCGGCCTCTACTTCTGGCCACTGGCTCCCCCAAAAAGCCTTTTCCCCCAGCGGGCCCGACCGAGGCCAAGATGAGTAGTCATGCCGGTGAGCCAGCCCCTGCCCGCACCGTCACCCACCGACCTCTCCGACCCACTGCGTTGCCCCGGCCACCTGTCACCCGTCCTGGCTCTCCCAGGATTGCTCCACCAGCCACAACGATGCCTCCCACCCTTGCTCCTGGCTCGGCCCCCACCAGAAGCAAGAAACCCTCTGGATCAGAAGCCACAAAGAAAGCCAGACCCAAGAGCAACCCCCGGAAGCCCGTGCCCCTCAGACCTGGGAAGGCGGCCAGGGATGTTCTGTTGAATGATCTGACAACCAGGCCCAGCCCCAGACAGTCCCGGCCCCGCCGGCCCACCACCCCGGCCCCGGCATTGGCCCCGGCGCAATTCCTGTCCTCCAGTCCCTGGCCCACGAGTCATAGCTATTCACTCTTCCACCTGGCGGGACCCACGCCTTTCCCCTTGCTGATGGGACCTCCAGGGCCCAAGGGAGACTGTGGTTTGCCGGTAAGACGGGGTGAGGTGTGCATGTTGCTTGGAGCTCAAGGGGGTGGCAGGGGCAGTCAGGGCAAGTGGCTACTCCTGGCATTAGGGCAGAGCTGGAGAAGCAGCTTAGAGCAGGGAGGTGGTTATGGGCAGGGCCTCAGCTGACACGCAGGTCCCCTGTTCCTCTATCTCCATGGTGCTCGTGATTTGCCCGCTCTGCTGTGATCCATGGTCCACTGGGGTAGCCTTGGGTTTGGTGGCCAGCGCCGGGTGAAGAGCACGCCTGTGCTTGGGCGGGTCCAGGCCCTGGGTCATTCTTTGCTAACCCAACTGTGAAGGTCAAGTGGCTTAAGGAAAACTACTAGCTGACTGGCCCCAGGTCACGCGGTCTCCAGAGTTCAGCTCTCCTGACTCCTGGAGGAGAGCTCCTCCAGCCCACCAGCTCATCTGGGGGCATTGGACAAAGGTCACACACGGGTAGCCCTGAACATGTTTTGTTTGGCACATGCAGCATTGTTTAAAAATATTTAATAGGTTACTAACATTTTAAAAATGTGGGAGATTTCTTATAAAAGACCTGGTGACCAGCTTCTCTTGGAAGGGGGACAGATGCAGTAGCCCGTGGCTTGCGGCCCACTCAGAGCTGCCCCTTTAGACAGGACGGGCCCGCTCCCGTGTGTCCCCACATCTCCTGATGTGGGGCTTCCAACCCAGTCCTTTCCCCTGTGTATTTTACCTGCCTGGTTCCTATAGATGTTTGATTTGTGGCCCCCGTAGAGGAGTTTGGGGTGAGGAGGATCAGGGTGGGCCTGAAGAGTCAAGGAAAGGAGAAAGAACATTCCACGTGCGGGAGATGTTCTCAGGCCCGGTGCCTCCAGAATGCCTGGGACTGTCTCCAGGGGCAACGACCTTTCTGCAGCTGGAGGCCAATTCCTCCGGGCGGGGAGTGGAGGGGATGGAGTTTCCAGAGAGCTCAGGCCTCAGCCCTGTTCTCCTGCCTTGGAGATGTCCACCGTGTAGTTTTCTCCTCCCTGAGGCCGGGTTTCCCACCAGGCTCTGTGTTTGAGGTTAGGCTCCCTACAATGTGGAGATGGTGGCAGATGCTGGGAATTCCCAGGCCTTACAAACACACTTAATGAGTTTTAATAATCATTAGGAATAATATTTATTCAGCCTGTCTCCAAGGGGACTGAGAGCCCGCTTTTATTGTAACCATATTGTAGAACTTATGGAAATTGTATGCATTGCTCTGCAATTATGTCAACGCTCTGCTCAAGTCCTGTGCTCTGAGACTGTTAGGGCAGGAGGTTGGGAGCTGAGAAAAGGACCGCTTCTCACCCCTCCAGGCTGCCCAGCCTGACTCAGGCACCGGGTGCCTCTGAGCCCTGCCAGCTCGGCTTCCCAAGCTGTGTGGGTGCTGGGCTCACTGGCCGTGAGATCAAAAGGGGGTGAATTGTCCTCCCCTGAGAGAGGGTGTGAGGCTCAGGGTCTCCACCCCATCCAGTGGAGGAGGTCAACCCTGCCTCCCGAGGCTGCATGTGGGGTGGAGAGAGGACAGCCATGTCCAAGCCAGCACAACTGGGACAGGAGTGGTTTTTAGGGTAGAGATTCTGACTTTGAGCCTATCGGATGCCCGGGCTACATACTTTCCCCTCGGGGTTCGGTGATGTGAGTCAGCAGGGGTGAGGTCTCACTCCAGATCTTCCTGAGCTTCCCCATGATCAAAGGGGTCAACCTGTTCAGTCGATGGCGCTTAGGGATCATTCCATTCAACGCTCTTCACTGGGCAGGTGAGGAGCTTAGAGACTATGCCCAGAAAGGGCCAGGACTTGCCCAAGGGCACACAGCAGAGTTGAAGTTGATGCCCCAGTGCCAGATGCTAAGACTGGCACATTCCATCCCACTCCCCTGAGTGTCCACTCTGAGACTCTAAGGGCCCGGAGGCTGGGGGGCTTCAAAGATGTGTCAGGCCCTGTCCTTGGCCTCAAAGGAAGATAATGTCTAGAGAATCTGTCGTTTCTATACCTCTCAGATTTATGAGTAACAGGAGTGGTACCTTCCTTTAGAACCTCACGGGACCTGGTCCAGGAGGGCAGGATGGGTATGCTGACCCCTGCTCTATAGATCAGGGGACAGTGGCTAGAGGGACAAAAGACTTGGCCAAGGGCACCTCACATGTTCTTGCAGGGACTGGGATACGACGCTGGGTCCCTGATGTCCAGAGAGGCCACTGACTCTCCCTGCTTCTCCAACCCTGAAGGACCCAGGGCCAGAGGGAGGGCGTCAGTCTGCTTGGGTAGCATCCTGCCTCTTGCCCTACCCTGTCCCCTAATCCCACCCTCCCTCAGCTTGGAACCTAGCCTCACTCTAATAGGAACCCAAAAAACTTTGAGAAGCCTTGTCCAGCCCACCATGTGGCAGGTGGCAAACTGGGCATTTCTATCTCGGCAGAGCCCAGAAGCCCCATCACCAAAGTGGCTTCTCTGAGCGTCGGTGGCAGGGCTCTGTCTGTCCCCTCGTCCCTGCCTCCGACCGCCATACACATCTGGGATTTAGTCCCAGCCGAGCAGAAGCTGTGCTGCTCTGGGTCGGGGGCTTAATTGTCCCCCGTCTGGGGACGTGCAGACCTGGGTTCCAATTCTGACTCCACCCCTTACTGGCTCTGTGGCCCTGAGCCACGCTAAGCCCTGGTTTCTGCAGAATGTAAGTTAAGAATAGCTCCCATCTCCTGTGAGGAAGCGAGTTGGGTGATCTCCAGGGCCTCTTGGAGATCTGTTTTTGCTGGGTGACTTGGGGAACTTCTTTCCTCTCCCTAGGGCTGTCTCCCCTCTCTGACAGCTTTGGAAGAGCTCCCTCCCCAGAAATAAGTGGGACCTTATTTGGGAGCCAGAGGGGGGTGCCGCGGCTGGGTCTGTTGGGTTCTGCGTGGTCCCCAGGGACAGGAGACAGACTGGCAGAGGCCGAGACAGCTCTGGGCCCCGGGCCTGTCAGCAGTTATAACCACGGAGGGAGGGAGCTCTGTGGGAGCCCCAGCAGCCGGGGGAGCATGGAAAAGCTGAGCTGGGCCCCGGGTGAGGAGGGGCGGGGAGGCTGTGGTTCACAGAGACTGCACAGAAGCTGCACAGAAGCCCCATGCCTGGGAGGAGGCGGGTCAAGGCCTTATTTATTCATGATCAGGCTGCTGGCCTCTGCACTCGCTTGCACTTTTTGCAAGCGTCACCTCAGGGAGACCCGGATGAGGGCCTGGCCCGCAGCAGATGCTCCATGACTATCTGTGAAACGAACAAAGGAATGTGATCCTTGCAGAAAAAAAGGTTGTCTTGATTCCCAGGCCAGGCTCCTTGAGGTTACACAGATCTCTGCTGCTGGTGGGTCAGGAGGCCGCGTGGAGGGTAACAGTGCACAGATTTTGCATTTGGAGTGACCTGGGTTTGAACCACTCCCTTATCCAGCCATTCTTTCGTTCTGTCAGCAAATATGGATTGAGTGCCTTGTAGGGGCCAGGTGCTGTGTGACCTTTGGCAAGTCACTTAACCTCTCTGAGCCTCCGTTTCTACCTTTGTAAAATGGGGATACGGTACTACCTACGTTTCAGAGTTGTTGTGTGGATCGAGATGAAGGACATAAAGCGCCCAGCACTAGAACCTGGTCCCAGTGGTTGGTTGTGGCTGTTTACTGATGTGCTGATGGTTGAGATGGGGGTATCGCTGCATTAAGATGACTGGGAGTATCTGGACTCAGGAGGGCCTTCATACTGTTGGTGGTTAGGAATTAGGGCTAGATCTTGAGAAATTCACCCTTTACCCCAGTTATCATCTAGAACCCAGGGGAAACGAGGGCTGTTTTGCTTTGTCTTTAGCATACTGTTTTTTGAGCTCCTACTATGTGCCCGGCTCTGAGCTAAGCAGTTGGCATGCTGTATCCTGCAGCTCCACGTGGGGAACAAGGTAATTGAGGGGAGTTTGAGGCAGGGGCTATTTGCAGAGGTGTGGGCAGCATCAAAGGAACCGACAGCAGCTAGCAAAGCACACAGGTCTGACCTGAAGGTACAAGGGGAGGGAACGTGTGACCAGAACCCAGTGAGAGTTAAAGTGTGAACAGTAGGTAGTCTGTAGTGTCCACCACCCCCACCCAACCCCAACCGGGCAGGGAGAGAAATACCCTGCCCACTCACTCTGTGCACTCTTCGGTCTCTTTGGAAGCTGGGTGTTATATCCCCATTTTGCAGCTGGACAAACTGAGGCCTGGAGGCATGGGGAGATGAAGTAATCTGTGTAAGGCCACATGGAGAAGCCCTGGCCCAGGAGGCCCTTCCCTAGGACAGAGACTGGGGAAAAAGCCTCCGAGCCCCGAGGGCTATTCTTGGGAATAGCGGTATGCTCAGATGGTCAGAAGCGGGAGGGCCCTTTGAGGTCCCCTGCCTCTCCCCATCAAGCCACAGGCACCGAGCAGAGGCCCAGAGACTGAAGAGTCCTAGCACAGGGTCACCGGCAGTTAGCAGCACACGCGGGCCGGGACTCAGGTCTCCCACAGATCCTCGGCCTGTGGAACCTCTCTGCTTGCTGCCCGGGGCCATGCCAGCCGGGACTTACTTCTTTCTGCAAGGCTTGGCAGGCGGGCTGTTGCAGCTGGACACAAGGGTGGACTTGTTCCGTGGGATGGGGTTCCCCTAGGTCCGGCTGTCAGAGGCCACGACCCCTGGGGGAAGCCCAGAGCTGCTGCTTGTTTGTTATCAGGGCTCTGCTTGTGCGAGCCCCGGAGCCCAGGCCTCCTTCACCTCCCCCAGGCAGGCCCGTGGCCCCCGCTCCCCTCCCCCTCTGCTCTGGGCCCTCTCAGAGGCCCCGTTGTTTGCGGCGTGGAGTGGAAAATCCCACCCCGGCCCTCGTGAATCATCCCAGAGTCACCCGCTCAGGCTTCAGGCCCTGGAAAGAAATGGCAGCGTTTTTCCACTGCGTGGAGAACAGGCAGGGTCCCGGATCAGGCGAGAGGGGGCAGGGGGTGCCCACCCTCACTTACCCACGGACAAAAGTAAGTCCTGAATGGGGAAGGGTTGGGCTTACGGCCGCAGCTGGGCCGCTGGGGGAGGCCCCGGGCCGGGGTTGGGTAGAGGAGAGCCTGGCCAGGCCTGCAGCTGGGGGCTGGGCTGCTATGACACGGAGCCGGGCTGGGGCCTGACATCACCAGGCTGGGCCGTGGGTCCCAACTGGCACTTAGAGTCTGCTCGGCAGATGTTGTGGGTGAGGTCAGACTCCCAGCCTGGATGCCCCTGTTTCTGGGGCAGAAGAAATGTCAAGAGGGAGTGTCCAGGCCTCCACAGCGGCGGCCCTACCAGGGTCCCTGAGGGAGCTATCCCTCCCAGGGACTGTCCCTCCCTGGAGCCTGGCACGAGCCCTGCCTTGCTGGGCCTTGGCCTTCCTCTCTGTGAGATGGGCACGGTGTCCTCCTTTCCTCCCCTGCCAGATAACTGGAGAAGGAAGTCACCGCCGCCCTGCAACGCAGGAAGGGCCCCGGGTTCGGAAGGTTCCGGGATGCTCATTCCATAGAGGCCTACAGAGGGGAAGGGCCTTAGCCAAGGTTGCACACCGAGTCAGGACATACTTAGCCAAGATTCTCTGCGTGGAAGCTGCCCAGAATAGGAGAACAAATCAAATGTCCTGGACTGAATCCAGATTCTGCCTATTAGCCATGTGGCCTTGGGCAAGTCGTTTTGTTGCTCTGAGGCTCTCTTCGGTTTCTCATCTATTAAAAGGGCTGGGTGATGATACGGCCTGTAGTCATGCTTAGCCTGAGCCCCTGCATTTCCCTTTAATTCTGGGTCACCTGGAAGAACAGAGCCAGGGAGGGCCTTCTGGAAAGGGAAATCTTTGCTCTTCCTGCAAAACAGATGCCAAGGAGGGTGGTTTAAAGTTTTGAGTTGGGGAGCTTCCAGCAGCTTGCTTAACAGAAACAACAGCTAACTTTTTGGGCATTAACTGTGTGCCAGGCACCAGGATTAGCACTTTTTATAGATTATCTGTCAGCTAGGGGCTGTCATATCCTCATTTTACACTTTGAGAATGAAGGCTTGGAGAACAGAAGTAGCGTGCCCAGAGCCACACAGCTCGTAAGTGGGGGTGCCCAGTGTGAACCCAGATCCCCTGGGGAGGAGCGGAGAGGAGCCTGGCCCTGAATCCCTGCAGGGAAACCTGCAGAACGAGATAGAAGAGTAGAAACATCCACCCAGCCCCCGGGGTTCTGGATGGAAGGAAGACGGCTGCTAATTTGGCCAGAGGTCCCTGGAGGCTCAGAGGTGTCTGGGACTTGCCTGAGGCCACGCAGCCACCCCCCTCCCTCCACCCCGGGCTCTTCCCAGTGCCCCTGGGGCCTTGGTGCCCATATCGGCCTGTCTGGATCTCTCTTCTGAGTTTTATTCATGGACGAGCAAGCACATGGTGTTCATAGGCCAGAACTGTGAACCGAGGCTGCCCAGCGTGAGATCTGGATTAATTACCAGCCAAACCGTACTGGGTTTTCAACACTGATTTTAACTCTGGGCAGGAAACCTGGAATCTCGTTGATGGTTATTTGAAACAAATGAATTCCCCAGGCCTCACACATCCTCGAAAGCCAGGCTTCCTTCGAAGGCTCCGTGTTCAGTTCCTCACATCAGGCACTTAGTTAATCCTCATTTATGCCTTCAGGGTAGACGGGGCCGTGGCCCTTGAACCCATGGGGATGGGGAGCAGTGGACACTCAGACTGAAGGGTTTGCACAGTCTCTAGCTATTAAGTGGCAAAACTGGGATTTGAACAAAGGTCAGCCCTCCATTTAGTAAGTCTGCTTGGCCGCCTCCATTCCATGCTACAGGGTTAGGCCTTTCTCTTGTGGGAAATAGGGAGCCATTGAATGTCGTTGAGCAGGGGAGTGCCTTGGGAAGATGAACAAGGCTGTGGGGAGGAGGACAGGAGAGGAGAGAGGGTGGAGGTAGGGAGACCAATGAGGGGGCTGTTGCAGGTTCTCAGGGAGCAGTGATGAAAGTTGGACCAGGCTGTGACCACTGGAATAGATGGAACATTTGAGTGATGATTAGACCCCAGTCACTGTGTTAAATGTTTACCGTCTCTCATTTCATCCTGTGACAGTCCTGTGAAGAGGGTATTATTGCCTCCATTTTATAGGCACAGGCTGGCTAGAGAACTTGCCCAAACCCAGCTAGTGGGTGGCAGCGTGGGGTTTGAACCCAGGCCTGTCTGATGCAGAAGCCTTTGCCTACACCCTATATGTAGCACTGCCTCTCCTCGGTGCAAAGATACTTGGCGTGACCTTGGACAAATCCCTTCTCGGCTCTGGCTCTGCGGAGAAGTTGGCTGAGTTCTGAGATCTCTTGCTGCTTTATTTTATCAAACATTTAGCTGAGCCCTGGGGAGAGAGAATTAGTTCCTTTGAGGAGATCATGGTCTAGTGGGAGAGACAGGCTCCGGGGCAGACAATTCCCCAAATAATATATAAATAAAAAATGGAAAGAGGGGACTTGACTCAACCTGGGGGAGGGATCAGGGAAGGCTTCCTGGAGGAGGTAGCACCCTGGGTAAGTTCGCTGAGTAATAAAAGGTGAAAACTTCAAAGACCACGAAACAGCAGCTGCAAAGGCCTGAAAAACCCAAAGAGCATGAGTTCCTTAGGCGGGGACCTCAGAGAACCCCTCTTCTCAGCCACGGAGTGTCCATGCCCAGAGCTCTAGACAGGCTTGTGGAACGACTGCTTGAACCCATTCTCTGCTGCCCCTTGGGACTGACGCTGTCTTCTTGCCTTTTTCTTCAGGGTCCCCCTGGGCTGCCTGGGCTCCCTGGACCCCCTGGTGCACGGGGGCCTCGGGTAAGTGATCACACGTTGTCCTTTGGGGCTCTGGTTGGCTCTTTGGCCTGTGTCCCCCTACCCCTAAAGGGAGCTCCCCCGCTACCTTGCTGTGTGTCCTCAGGCTGTTTCCTGCCCCTCGCGGGTGCCCATTTTCCACTTTGTCCGTTGGAGTGGACTTAGGGCTCTTCGGGGGCACTGTGTGGACGGGCATGGCATGGGGACAGCAACGACCTCTTACAGGGTTTCAGGTATTCATGGTGGGTATCACCCTTGGCAACCTGGAGTGGAGAAAGGGTTTCTGCAGACCACATCTCCTGAACTCTTGGGTTTCAGTGTCTGCCCAGGAAAAAAAGCTGGCTTGGGAGGACACGACCCTTGCATCCATCTTCCCATCTCTGCAGGGCCATCCTGGGGTGGGGATCCCGACACAAGCAAGGTGCGGGGGGGAGCTCCCCATGCTGAGAGGTTTGATCAGAGGCGGGAGGATGGCTTTGCAGGGCCGCAGGGGCTAAGATGAGCTAGCCTGAGTCTTGGTGTGAAAAAGAACTCCTATGTGTTATGCCTTGCACACATGTAACGCTGCCTCGTTTGAGCCCCTCTCCCCCCCGGACCCTTGTGGGCCAGGATAATCATTCTCATTTTGGGAATGAGGAAGCCGAACATATAGGAAATGGAAGAGCCAGGATGGGAACCCAGGCCCTGAACCGTATGCTGGCACCCCTGGGGGTCCTCTTGGAGAAAAATCTGTCCTTTTCCCAAGAGGGCTCAGACCCGTGATGCCTGGCACCTGTGCCCAGGCTGAATCAGCCTTTCCCACGCTGGGTGCCTGGCAAGGCTCTGGCAGAGACAGCTGCCTGGGGCATATTTTTAGTTCAGAGCCCAGCGGATGGTTCTGGTTATGCAATTACTCCAGACCTGGCCCTGTGCTCTCTGGGCCCAGGGCTCTGGAATCTGTTGTCTGATGCGGCATTTCCTCCTGGCTCCAGAGTCTCCATGGAGCACATACCCAGAGCTGGGGACCACAGAGGTATCAGGACTACTGCTGGCCACAGGACCTTGCAGTCTGGGACCAGGATGAGGCCCTTTGACTATTAGGCAGTTTGTCCATCCAAATGCCTCCTCTGCACCTTTACTCGGGTCGGCCTCTTGACCTGACCTGGTGTGCCCTTCTTTGAAGCTCCTCCTCCATCCCCTGCTGAGATCAAATGCCACCTCATTTTCTGATGACAGCCCCCTTCTCCGAGTTCCTGCAGCGGTTTATCTGCTGCTCTGGATGCCATGGATCACTTTCCTAAAGCTCGCACAGACTGCTGAACTCTGTTGGCGGAGCTGCCTATGCGTGATCTCATCCCACCAGCCCAGCCGTCCCGAGAAATAGGTTCTGATGTTGTCCCTGTGTTACAGACGAGGTAACTGAAGCTCAGAAAGGTTTGGTTACTTTGGAGAAGGTCAACCAGAGAGTCAATGCTGGAGCTAGGATTGGACCCAGACAGTCTGACCCCAGAACCTATGATCTTAACCATCTATTGTGCTGATTTATCTGTCTACCCAAACAAGCCCCTCTGGGCCAGAGCCAGGCCCTGTTTCTCTTTCTCACACGATGCACGCAGCAGGTGCCGGGCAAATGGTTTGCTGAAGAGTTCTAGTCTGGGAGTCAACAACATTTCCCCCCAGAAGCTGTGTGATCTTAGACAAATCCCTTCCCTTCTCTGGGCCTCAGTTTCCCATCTATAAAGCATGGGGTCCGCTCAGGATTTTCCAAGGCATTTCCTTGGAACCATATTTCCAAGCTGTGAAATTCCATGAGTGAGGGAATGACTCTCCCGACATCCTTCTCAGGCTTTCTGTGTGCTCTCCCTCCCCACCCCCCACCCCCCACCGTCATCCTGTTTCTAGGCTGGAAATTCCATAGATCATAAAATTCCAGAGATAGTAGAATGCGAAAAGTAGACCATCCAGCTCCTCTCTGCACGAATGACGGCTCTGGGGCTTAGGGAGCGGCAGGGCCTTACCTGAGGTCGCCCAAAGCTCAATGGTGTGCCCCTTCCCACCTCCACATACTTCCCCAGCCCGTGGAAGGCTGTTGGGGAATCCCTGGGCCCTCCCCATACCCGGCTTTCTGGGCTGCAGCATTTATAGAATTGGTCTGCTTGGCTCCCAGTCAACTATGTGCTCCGTTTCTTTGCAAGGCAGTGGCTGGAGAGGGGTGGGGAGGTGGGGGTGGGGAAGCAGGAAGCCCCCACTTCCACACACTGCAGACGGGGTAGCCGAGCGCTCCAGCCCTCCATCTTTGGGGCAGCTGGGGGCACAACTGGGGAGAAGGTAGCCACCCTTGGCCTCCCACAGTCCATGACTGTTTCTGGAGTGCTGGTCAGGGGCCCCTCCTCAAACATGCCTACCCAACTTATGCCCGATTCCGTCTGAGCTCTGAGGTTAGACCCCAGGAGCCTGGGCTGGGGTGAGCATCTCAGGTCTTCCAGATTCCTTAGAGACTACTGGGGGTCCTAGTTACTCATAAGACTGTTGGGGAGAGGGAGGCTGGGGAAGGGGGGCTGCTCACAGCTGGTTCCAGGTCACATCCATGTGCCGGGTTGACCATGTTCGGTGGAATGCTGGAGAGGGCCGGAGAGCGGGCTATTTTAGAGGGAGGGTCACCAGTGACACCGTTCTCAATTCCCCAGGCCGAGCGAGCTTCTGAACACTGTTCCTTTTTGATGTGTTTGGAGAAGGGGAGGGTCCCTGTTCAGGCATCGAGGAAGAGGGAGGTGCCTTGGTTGGAATGTGACAGGCTGCAGCTGGAAAGTTGGCCTCAGAGAGGGAGGAAGGAAGCAAGTTCATACACAGCTAGCCAGATGAGTCAAGAGGGGCCAGGGACAAGGGCAGTGTGTCTAGAAGCTGGTGTGGTGGGGCACCACTGGGCTTCTCGAGGCACCTCTCCCCACCCCCAACGCTCCAGATTATTCCTGCTGGACAAAGACTCTCGGGAATGACCCGGCTCTTCAGGCTCTGTTTATATTACTGGCTGCAAGACCCTACCCCAGGCCCTTGCTGGAGAAAAGTGGACATAGCAGGCTCTAGCTGTTCTATAGGATTCAGATAGGACCTGGGAAAATCGAGTGCCACAAATAAGCCCTGGACCCTAAGCCAACAGGCCCGGGTCCCAGCCCTCCCTTGGCCACCTCTCTGCTGTGTGACTTGGCCAAGACTCTTGGACTCTCTGGGCCCAGTCTTCCTAGCCGCTCCAAGGCCCCCGGAGGACCTGTCGGCTCAGAGCTCGTAGGAACCTAAGGGAGAGCTCTCTGGCTGGGCTGTGGCCACAGGAGGGAGGCACCTTTGTTCAGAAGACGCCAAGTCCTCCCTTCACTGGGCTCTCAACTCCAAAGGCTCACACCACAGTCCCGCTGGAGTCAAAAGGGAGCGGTGCCTTTAGGCAGAAGTCCTAGAGGATCCCCTCGAGGAGGTGGCATGTGAGCCAGGCCTCGAAGGACGGGGCGGGTGGCAGCTGGTGGGGATGGGTGGGAAAGGCACACATGATGAGAATGGCACAGACCAAAGTGATGAGCAGTGGTGGAGGGAAGCAGGTCGCTAAGTGCGCTTTGAGCCCCGGGGAGCTAGCCTGGGACGAGCTGCTGGGCCAGGGGCAGAGAGCCGGGAAGCAGTAAAGTAAAATTCACAGGTCGAGGCCTTGTGGTCCGAAGTCACACATCTGAGGTTGACCTCTAGCTCTGCCCCCGAGCAGCTGAGCGACCTGAGAAAGTTCTCAACCTCTCTGAGCACCGGCTCCATCTTCAAAATAGGAATAACGATAGCCCCCGCCTGGTGGGTTAGTAGAGTAAAATGAGGGCATGCACGGCAGGTGTTTAGTGCAGGGCGGGCATCGAGGGGGCCCTCCCTAAAGGTAGGCCGCCAGGACAGTCCTGCTAAGACATGGCTAGCTGAGAAGACCCAGCGGGTGGAAGACATTGCTGTGTAAGTGGGGTGATCCCCATTTTTCCCTCACCTCTTTGTTTCTTTTCCCTTTCAGGGTCCTCCTGGGCCTTATGGAAATCCAGGCCTCCCCGGTCCTCCTGGAGCCAAAGTGAGTAATTGCTGTGGGGTCTGGGGGTAGGGCCATGGAGTGGGTGCTGGTGTTGGGGCTACGTTTGGGGTGCTTCCTAGGGGGCCGCTGGTGGGAGGGCCTCTGTGCCACAGACACCCCCTGAGCGCCTTCTAAGTGCCAGGTGGTGACACAGTGAGGACTTAGGACTTGGGAGCGGAGCTTCTGGTTTGGGGGGATTAGGGAGAGAAGGGCAGTTGGAACCTAGAGCCCTCAAAGGAGAGCAGGAAGAAGGGTCATTTGCTGCTAAATAGGGAAGGCCTTGAATGTCGAACTAGGGATGGAAATTTTACTGGGCCAGACTTATCCCGGGAGGCGTGTCATCTTTTGATCGGAGGAGGGACATGGTCCTATTTGGGAATGATGGCTGGATGTCATGTGGACGTGGACGGGAGGCGGGGACCAGAGCAGAGGCAGGGAGACCCCGAGGGTGGGGGCAGAGGAGGGATGAGGCTAGCCCAGCCAGCTTAGAGGTGTGGGAGGAGGGGCAGGAGGGGAAGCGAATGCATTCACGATGTGGAGCGGGGGGAGAGAGGACGCGGCTATGGGTGAGCGATAAGAGACCAGTGTCACGGTGGTGTTAGCCTTGGTGACCCAACCGGGCCACCCCGGGGAAGGAAGGCGAGGATGTTCATTTGGGAACTGGGAGGCCTGCCAGGTGGAGACGATGCATGGACACAGCAATTCCGAAGCTCTCTGCAGAGCGCTGAGCTGGAGATGAGCCTTGGGGGGGTGGAGACTACGGCACAGAGACGCCACCCGCCGCAGGGAGCCCTCTTGGAACGCTCCGGTTAACTTTACGGTGAGACCCCAGAGACCGGAGAGAACGGTGCCCTGTTGCATGCTGGGAGCCCCAGCCCCGGAGCGCCCGGTCTGTTCCTGGTGCTCCAGCAGTGAACAGGGCTGTCCAGGGCTGTGCTTGCAGCGAGCCGCCAGAGCGCCAAAAAGCGTGCCAGGCCAGCAACATTTAGGTCATGGGGAGAAGTCTCCAGGAATGGCTGGAGAAACGGGAGGAGGGGAAAGAAGTTGCAAGGTCAGGGAAGCCAAGAGCGCAGGGACTGTGCCGAAGGAGTGTGAAGCAGGCCCGGAGGGAGGCCAGAGGGGCTCCTGGCTAGGACACTGCCCCGCCCAGCCTGTCCTCTGTGGGGTAGCCAGGATGGCCAGGCCCAAGGTCATTCTTTGCTAAGCCCATTGTGCAGATGCAGTGGCTTAAGGGAACCGACTGGTCCCCAGGTCATGCAGCCTCCAAAGACCAGCTCTGGCGCCCACCAGCTTGTCTGGGAGTTTGGGACACACGGCCAGGGCTGGGCTGGGGTCCTTACTTGCAGAACAAGCACAGAGGCCTCGGGTGCCCCGTGGCCAGCAAGTGCCTGGAAGTGCTCTGGTTTTAACAAGGCGAAGATAGCAGAGCTGTCTTCCTGGGCAAACACGGACAATAATAATCGCCCATATATGGGGCCTTACTGTGGGCACTATGCCCTGTGCGTGCACGTGATGTAGCTTGTCTTCATTCAATCCCCACAAAGACCTAAAGAGACGGGTGGAGACACTGTACCCATAAACAGATAGGGAAATTAAGGCTCGGGCACATTAAGGCGCCGTCTAGGAAATGACTGCAGGACCTGCCCCCCTGGGGACCAGGCGGAGAGAGGGAGCCCCCTTGGGGACTTCTGCTCAGCACAGGCCTCAGGCCTCCCAGGCCCCAAGGTACATCACGATGCTGAGGGTCCGCAGCTGTTCTGAATTGCCAGGTTTGCTCAGGAACACGCCTTTCTTGGTCTGCCGGGGGACCGTCCAATCCTTCTGTTCCCTCCCGCTCCCACCCGTTCTTTTCCACCCCCTCCAGCCTCCAGATTGATCCCTTGCTTCTGTGGTAGGAGATGCTCCAGTGGCTCCATGCTGGCCCCACACGGCAGGGCCCCAGCCCCAGGCCCACAGCAGCCCCAGTCTGGCCTGCAGCCCACTCCCATCCTGCCAACAGACGTGCTGAGGCAGGAGGGGGGCCCCTCAGCCGCTTCTCCCTCCATTTTGAGAAGCAGCTCTGGGGGTGGTGAGTGAGGCTTGTACCTAGCAGGTGATTCCTCCTCCTGCGGCCACATGTAGCTGGAGCGTGTGGACGTGGGGTCTCCTGGACAGGACGCCCTCCTGCTTCTGGGTATAACAGATCAGGTTGTGGGTTCCAGAAAATACACTGCAATGGAGGCTGCTTCTTCCAGTAGCGCTTGCATAAGACTCCAAGGGGAAAAGCCATGCCCTTTGCCTGACACCTGGCCTGCAGCCCAGGGGTGAGCAGAGGTGGCCCCAGGACCGGCCGGTTGGGTGGGAGACCCCAGTTTGCTGGGCTTGGGTCCTGGGCTGCCCTTGATCTGGGGCGTGGCCAGGACAAGGTTAAAGCAGACGCTGTCCTGGGATGGAATTTCCTGACAGAGCTGAGGTTGGAAGAGAATGTTGTGTGTCTACACCTGGGGGTGTGATTCTGGGGAGAGGGTCCTCCCTGTGTCCCAGATCCCCCTTGGGCCTGGGAGGTGACCTGGTGGGATTGGAGGGCTGGCCTCCCCCAGGCCCTGTGCTGGCTTCTCCTTCTTGTACATGATGTTGGCTTCTAGAGCCGCTCGTGGAGCCTCCCATCCAGTCATCTCCTTCAGTCAGCAGATGTTTATTGAGCACCTACTACGTGCTGTTGATGGAGAAATCAGCCAAACAGGAGGGTGTGCCCAGGTGGCAGGGAGCCTGCACCTCGTCTGGATGGGTCACTGTGCACTCATTGCTTCAGTGAGCTTATGGAGCCCTCAGGAGCTTGTGGCCTTGTGGGATAAAGACTGAGGGGTGGGAGAGACCAGTGGATTAAGGAGGATCAAGAAAGGGAGGAGGATCAAATGAAGGACTTGAGGTCACAAAGACGCCAAGGATCACTGGTGATGACCAGCATGGCAGGACTGTCTTCGGGATCCTTGGGTTTGCCTGCTGGAAGATACTTGTTACAGGGCAGCCTGCCCCCCCTAGACCCCAAGGCCTTATCCACATGCCATAGGCCGGTACAACCCATGTTCAGCTCCATCAGGAAGAGAGGGTCAGCTCCCACATGGGATCGAGATCAAGGACTTTGAGAATGAGGCAGAGAAACCAGCCCCCTGGGAGGACAGCACTGGCTGACCTCAGAGGCCCAATGTTGAGTCATTGGATTGATTCATGTTGCCAACCGACCCATACTTGCTGCTGCAGGAAAGGGCAGAGGTTAAGAGCGCAGACTCTGGAGCCAGACGATCCAAGTTCAAACCCCAGCTCTGTCACCTCCTAGTTCTGTGACTCTGGGTACGTTATTTCAGCTTTCTGTGCCTCAGTTTCCTTATCTAAAAAATGGCGGGGAAGAGTCGCTGCCCCCTTGAGTTGTCACGAGGAGTAACTGAGTCACTTAGAGCAGCACTGGCCTGTGGAAGGGTCAACTGTCAGCACGGGCAAGGTGTTGGCCCTGTATTGGGGCCCCAGCGCCTCACCAAGGACAGTCCCTGCCCTTGTGGAAACAAGTTAATCACACTGATAAATGCAGAATTATGCCATGATCATGGGTCTACATGAGAGGCGTGGGGTGCCTAATACGGTGGGGATTGGGCTGGTCTAGGAGGTGAGGTGCACCTTCCCAGAGGGCAGATGGGTTAAACTAAGGTCTGAAGTAGAGCAGGTGAAAGGTACAGGGGCAGGAGGAGGCCGGGTCGGGCAGCAGGCCTGGTAGGCGGTGGTAAGGCTTTTGGACTTGATCCAAGCAGCAACAGGAAGACACGCAAAGGATTTTATTTTATTTTATTTTTTATTTTTTTATTTATTTGAGAGAGAGAATGAGAGAGAGAGAGAGCACACGAGAGGGGGGAGGGTCAGAGGGAGAAGCAGACTCCCCGCTGAGCAGGGAGCCCGATGCGGGACTTGATCCCGGGACTCCAGGATCATGACCTGAGACGAAGGCAGTCGCTTAACCAACTGAGCCACCCAGGCACCCAACGCGCAAAGGATTTTAGCAGAGGTGACACGATCAGATGAGGTCTGCAGAGGCCACTCAGGCAGCTTGAGAAGCAGGGCCTGGCCGGCAGCCAGCGGGGAGGTCCAGAGCTGCCCTGCTGGGGATGCTGATGCGGCACCGTGGTGCAGGCAGGTGGGATGCAGGGCCGTGGGCAGGTGAGGGGCTCAGGGCCAGAGGCAGCGGGGCTCCAGCTGTGCAGGAAAACCAGTGCTGCCCATGCCAGAGGAGAAGGCGCCCGGCCCTGCTCTTCTTGGCAGGCGGCCGCTCCATCCCTGGTGTGGCTTTGCTCAGTGTGCAGTGAATTACCCAGGATTATTATGGGCCCTCAGGCACCAGGGCCGGGGGGGTGGGGTGGGGGGAGATAGGTGGGCAGGAAGGAGCAGACTTGGTGAGCCAGGTGGCTGCTAGCAGAACTGGTGGGGGCTGAGGTGGAGAAAGCCTACAGGGTTCTCAGGCCCTAGCCTCCCCTTCCCCTTCTTCTGATGACAGAGGTAGGGCATGCTCATGAAGGAAAATGTGGAATAGTCTAGAAAGTATCAAGAAGAAAGTAAGCTGCCTGCAATGGCCCTGCCCAGTGATAAGCACTGAGTGCCTTTTGAGGACTGGGCCAGGGACTGGCCAAGAGCTTTACATACTTTGTAGGGTAGATGTTATCACCCCCATTTTACAGATGAAAAAACTAAGGTCTAAGTGGCTAAGTAACTGGCCCAGGGTCACATTTCTGATAAGTGGCAGAGACAGGATTTGAACCCTCTACTGCCTAACTCCAAAGCCTGTATGTACTTCTAGTTACAAGGCAATTTTGTTCCATAGCTCTATCGCCTTCCTCTGCAGATTAAGTAACATGTATATTATACATATGTTTGAGTATGTATATATTATATATATGAGTTATATATAAGTAACATTGTATATTTTTAATCAAAATAAAGAAATCAGAATTTTTGTTTCTTAACATATTTTATATATG